AATTGGACTAACACAGAGGCAATGCATGGTTGTCAATTGAGAAATTAAACCCAAAGGTTGTATGCCTGAAATAGGAAAGCTTGCATAAGGAAATATAATGAAAATTCGAAAAAAAAACTAAAAAATATAATAAATGAAACTGTGGAAAATATAGAAGAACTAACAGACTAATTAGGAAGTAGTGCTATTTAAGCCATACCTAGATTGAGAAAGTCTACTATCGTGGTTATACAATAAATATCTTGAAACTTCCTTTTGTCAATTGAATGAAATGCGTGAATTTGAAGTAAGTTAATACATTTCTAGCAAATAACTTATTCGATTCAATAATAAGAAATTACCATACTCGTATGAATAAAGTAAAAAAACATATATGCATTATAGCAGAAAGATCTTTTAATTGTTTCATTATTATCTTTTAGCGATATTGCACTCAAACTACAACCATCGGTTCGGCTCGATAGGTCAATAAATCGTTTTCTGGAGTTTAAATAGCAAGTTGCGTTGAGATTAAGCAGTCGTCCTTGGGGCTTTTCCCAGTTGTCAGCACTGCAGAAGAGCCCATTTAAAGCAGGCTGACCGCCAGTTGAAGCGGAGCGTGTCTTTATTCACGACAGGACAGCCTGCCTAAGCACCTCGCCAACAAACTTCTGCTATCTAAACGTGACCGTTCCAGGGGCTGGCCATACACGCCGCCGCTGGGTCGAAATGTTTTGGTTTTTAGATCGGTACTTGTTCCACTGTTTCCATCTCCGAGATCGTCACGGATTTCCACTCCGAATCTGTTTTCAAAAACAGAACAATGACTAGCTAACGCCACTTGATTCGTAAAGGCGTCACGGACATACCCTCTTTGCTATGCAAATAAGCGTTTTGTTCTTTTTACGTACCAGTCTTGTTAATTATGTGGTCTATTCTAATAGGCGCATTAGGCAATTAAGTACTTGTCCAAAATATTCTAAAGGGGTTGGGTTATATACCAAAATGAAGGTCATCACTTATTTGTTGGTCCTTAACACTATAATTAGCTTATTTAGAATTACGTGGCTTGATGCACTGTTCGCTTTATAGTAATTGTGCGGTCTGAATTATTCATAACGTAAGACCACAACGTCGAGTATGTAGAGCGTGGGAGCACACCTAGTAGTGAAATGAAGTGACTAGCATGGGGGGCGTTGTTTACGTGGTAAAAGGAAGATAAATTAGAATGCTTATTTTGAGAACTTGTAATAACTCCCACAAACAATTTGGGAACTTTTTCAAAAGTATTCGGGGAATTCAACTGGCTTACTGCAGATAAAACTGGCAGACAAAAATGCAACTACTACTGAAATTGAACTCAAGAATCCCAAATGAAATGTATTAGGAACCGATATTACGGTAAAAATTTGCTGAGTGCGAATGCTCAGGCCAAATTTCTTCCACATTCAAACAAACATTTCCGCATTACAACTTTTAACGAAATTTCAATATCATATACAATAACAAACTATGTATAAAGGAATTCCTATTTAAATCTGAGTAATAAGTTCTCCACTAAGATATGAAGTTAATTTTGGCATTATCAACATACAACATGTTGGAGAATATTTTATAAAAGTTTATTTAATTGAGAATAGCATTACATATTAAACACTACGGAATACTATCAATGTGGCCCCAAAGAGAAACCTACGTTAAATAAACGAGCGATCACACCCGAAAAGAACCCTGGCAAAAATGAAATCCCTTCGCAATTTCTCTCGAAATGAGATTGCGATTCCTCCGACCAAAGATAGATCTCATATGCAATACCCGATCGAATTAGTTCTTTACGTAAGGGTTATTTTGAAGAGACACAGCCCATGACCGCAGTCGCACTCGTGTTTTCGACAGCCTTCCGTTTGAAACGCACGCAATTCTACGCGTCTTCTTGACTTGAAGCGCGCACCCATTGGCGTCCCATGAAGCTACTGGGCACGATCCCTACTGGACCGCGGCCACAGATGTCGGTTTCTCTGTCGAAATATGCGATCTATCTGGTCGGGAGGAATGCAGATCTCCATTTCGGAGAGAAATTGCGGAAGGATTTCATTTTGCCAGGGTTTTTTACATGCCTCAACGACGTGACTAATGTGAATGGTTCCAATCATGCGAAAATGTACCACTCTGCGTCGTTCAACATTCGCGCTGGGAGATCAGGGCTACTAAGCTAACATTGCGAGTCCCGCGTGGCAGGATTTTCGACACTTTTTGTCACTTGTGAATTCAAGTCGCTTTCTCGAGGAGAATTCTAGAGACGCCGACATCTTCTGATAGATAGCTTTACCGTGGTTTTCTACAGATCAACTACAGACGAATACGGAGCAGTACCCAATACAGACGGAAAGCGCACTCTTTTCGCGGACCTTTCCCTCTTTCTTCCTTTCTAATCCTCATCGCTTACTTACTACCAGTTTACACTAACTCTCACACACACTACAACATGCCAGAAGATCGGCCGGGAGCTTAAAACTGTCCTGTCCTGGGATGGTGCCGCCGCGTGGAGAAAACGTGATTGAGGAAAACGCTTTAGCCGCTTTGTGGCACCGGATCTTCGGCACAACCTAAAAAGAAAGTAACCATTTTCTACCTTACGGGACTAAATGGCGTTAGCAAAGTTTGACGCACCGGAATCACAAACATCAATCCATCTATCTGCACCCTCGCTCACGGAGATGCGCGTAGGACCAAGTGGGTGCGATTGCAAGGTCGAGCCGCGAGTAGCGCCGAGCTGCAGGTGTATGGCGGACTGCCCCGGGCGAAGGCCCGCGGGAAATTGGGGCGGGAGTGTGCGCGCGGGAAGGATGCGAGGGTAGCAGCGCGAAAAGCGGGGAAGTGGGGGAGGGCGAAGTGTGAGGAGGGCGATCGACGGAGGCGGGTGCTCGTAGCGAAGCGGGCAGAGCGGCCTGGGCGTGGCGGGGTCTTGGGAGAGTGTGGGGGCATCGTGCGGGCTGCCACGTGGCAGCGCGGGGCGCCGGAGGGTCAGGTGTCCCGGGCTTGCGACGCGAGGCCGCGGGTGCGGGCGCGAGCTTGCGCGCCCGCAGCCAGCGTTCAGTATAGGAAAACATGTCGAGAGCGAGGGCGGGTTGGAGCTCCGACGCAAGCTAGGCAAACTTCGGACGAGTCCAGCGCGTTCTTTTAATGCTGAGTGATTGGTGGTGTGACCCACACGATGGCGAGGAGAAGACAATGCCTAGCGACTTCGAATGTACCGATCATTGCGAGGGCACGGGTGATTCCGTCTGGTGGGCAACTTGCATGATGCCTTAGCATCATTGGAGTTTGTGAGTATCGGGAATCCGGAATTCGTAGGCCAGCTTGTTTTGATCAGTGTGCCCGGTTTCCTGATCACTTTTCGGGCGATGTAGCAGCCTATTGGGCCACTAATCGCGCGCCGTCTCCCGTATTCGTGCCATTCCTCATGGCAACGATGGAATGATGCCCGCACCTCAATATGGCTAATCCTCATGATAAGAGAACATCCATCTATGTCGAAGATAGGCGCGACCAAGTCTAGTGCTGTTGGGGTAATTTGAAAAAATAGCCATCTGTTGGGTGTGGCGTTATGCTTGTTTTACCTGTAATGAATTTGTTGAAAAAACGTTTTCTTTTTCCAATTTTTTGCATAATTTAGTATTTATTTGTATCCCGAAACAATGGATTGCTTACACGAATACATAAAGCATGCCTTGGAACAAACTTATAAAAAATTGCTGTAATGTCCAAATATATCTGGGCATAAATTTTTTTATCTATTTTCACAGCTCTTATGAAAATCTCAGGTTCGTTTTTACCTATAATTTGTAAGTTTTAAAATAAATTGATGTACCTTAAATTGGTGTGGTGTTTCTACAATTCGTAATCCATCAAGTTGCCGAATCAGTATAAAGGTTTTCACAATCCTGTTGGTTGCTTTTTGCTTCAACAATAGTCATTGAAATGTGATAACATTTCCGTGGTTTGGCGCTGTTTTATTTGTAACTGCAAATGTTGCTCGTGTGTCCATCCCTGTATTGAGTGCTTCGTTCCTGGCGCCCTGGCCGAGGCGAGCGCCCGGGCTGCCTGGAGCGCCTGGGCGGGGGTGGGGATGGGGTAGGGGTGGGGATCCGCTGGCGACAGCGGATGATGGGGCGCGTGCCTGGGGGGCATCGCCCCGCTCCTCTGGCATCGCGCCATCGCCCGCTGGCGCGGCTGCCGTCCGCCTCGCCGCTATTGCTTCGCCACTAGCCTCCCTCCACGGTCCCATCTCTCGCCGTGGTCCTGCCACCCTCACCTCGTTTCAGCACATACACTTCCTCTCTCTCCCTCTTCCTGTGACTCTTTCCTTCACTAGTTCTCTCAGCTTTCCGCTCCCGCTCACACTCCACATTCCTTCGCTTATCGGTCTTCCTCTCTCTTTCTCTCACATCATTTGCTCTCAGTGCGTCACGCGGAATCCCTCAACATTTCTCTCCATCTCTCTCTCTCTCTTCTCTCTCTCTCTCTCTGCTCTCTCTCTCTCTCTCTCTCGTCTCGCTCGCTCGCTCGGGCTCGCTCGTCTCTCGCTCATCGCTCCGAACCTTCCTTCACTAATTTTTCGCTTTCGCTCTCGCCGACGCACTCGCATTTGCGCTTCGTACTTTCGCCTTCGGCATCCATCCTCCGTCCCTCTTCAGTTA